TCACCTACACCCCCCGCCCCCTCCGCAGGGCCGCGGCTCTCAGGGGCCTGACTCAGGTGAGCAAACACTGCGGTCCAGCCCGCAAAGGGCTGCTCGCTCGGCTCCACGTGGGCGAGGAGACCCCGGGGCGTCGCTGGAAAGCCTCGTCCGAGCCCTCTGCGCCGCGCAGGGACTGGGCCGGCCCAGGGCAGGAGCAGAGCTCTCACCTCCCCATCCTCGGGGGCATACATGTAGTTGAAGAAGATGGGGGCTTTCTTGTTCAGCCGGTCGATGTAATCCCAGATGGACTTGTAGACCTGCTGGCTCTTCCGCTCGCCCTTCTCCTCGTAAAGGAGGCCTGAGGGGAAGAGCGCGGGGAAGGGGTGTTATTTGGGGCAAGGCACTGGGCTGCCACGCGCTGTGGGCCCCGCGTGCTGCCCTCACCCAGCTCGATGCGCTCGTAGTCGGAGTCCAGCAGGAACGTCCGGAAACGGTTGGAAATGTAGTGGTAGCTGAGGAATTTCAGGTAGTATTGGCTGAACTCGAACTCCATGGGGAACTGCAGGTGGATCTGCCGGCTCGGGGGGAGCCGGCCGCGGCCAGCCGTCGCGTGCGGCAGCTGTAGGGCTCCTTCCTGCGTGGTGATGTCCCAGCCGTCCTCCAGGCTGACCAGCACGGAGGAGCCCGTGTCCAGGAGCTCCACCACCAACACCGAAATCTGCAGGATCTTATGGATCTGCCAACGTAAGGGCCAAGAGTCACCGGGGTGCTGGAGACTCGTTTGCTGGACGTTGTGCAAAGCGACCCGTTCTCTGGAAGCGGGTGAGCCAAACGCAGCACAGCACGGGGGTTACGCAGCGCCACGATACACGGCCCCCGCGTTCAGACACTGTGCAGCACCCTTCATCTGCAACAGCCAGGCCAGCGGGGCAGAACCACCGCACCACCAGCCGCGCCGTGGGTCCTGAGCCGAGCCGCGGGTCCCTCGCTCCCGCCAGCAGCCAGAGGGTCCAGTCCCACAGCAGCTCCGCAGTGGGACCAGTCCCGCAGAGCAGCAGCCGCCTGCGTCATCCTGGCTACCGCGGGCACTGCCGGCTACCAACCCCTCCACGGCGTTGTGCCGTGCCGCAGGTCCTGCCCTGCTTCCCCCGTCGCCCCCGACACTCGCAGCTCCCGCGTCCAGAGCCACCCAGCCGCACGCTGGGCTATTTCACCCTCGTTCCTCAGACCAACCCGGCTCCCTTGGTGTCCCCCACTCCACGCCGCAGGGACGCTTTTGGAGAGGGCACGCGGACCCCCATTCTCACTTTGCCAGGAGGTATGGACACGTGTCCCTGAGCGACAGCCAACGGCAAAGACTTCTACCGTGGGGACAGACCGGGGTCCCTCCAGCCTTTGGGTGACAACTGACCTGGGACAGCCACTCGGACTCCTCCAGGGACCGCAAGTAGGCGACGCTGGGGTCGGTGGAGGGGCAGCCGGGCACACAGGCCTTCATCAGCTTCTTGAAGCTGGCCTTCACCTGCCGCACGTCGAACACCTCGATGGGCACCACCTCCCAGTGCTGCAGCGGGTCCGGTTTCACCCCCTGAGGGAGGAGAGAATCAGCGCCGCCCTGAGAGACCCCCCAGCAGCCCCACTGCCCCCCCAGAGCCACAGAATCGTCGAGGATGGAAAAGACCTTTAAGACCACGGGGTCCAACCAGTACCCTGACACTGCCCCTAACCCACGTCCCTCGGCACCACGGCTACACGGCTTTAAAATCCCTCCAGGGATGGCGACTCCACCACTGCCCTGGGCAGCCTGTGCCAGTGCTTCACAACCCTTTCGGGGAAGCAATTTTTCCCATTCTCCATCCTAACCCTCCCCTGGCACAACTTGAGGCTGTTTCCCATTGCCTGTTCCGGGGGAGCAGAGACCGACCCCCCCTCGCTGCCCCCTCCTGTCAGGGAGCTGTAGGAGCGAGAAGGTCTCCCCTCAGCTCCTCTTCTCCAGGCTGAACACCCCCAGGGCCCTCAGCCGCTCCTCGCAGGACGTGTGCTCCAGACCCCTCACAGCTCCGCTGCCCTTCTCTGGACACGCTCCTCGTCCGTCCCCCCCCGAGGAGGCTGTCTCCAGGCGCCGGGGTTACCTTCAGCTGCGACTTGTCCCCGATGATGTAGAGCGAGGCGCGGTGCTGGCGCAGGAAGCTGGCCTCCGCGGGGGTGCCGTTGTGCTGGGCACCCAGCAGGTCCTTCCCAGCCAGGCGCGAGCCGATCTCCATGTTCAGGGCGTAGCTGCTCATGCGCCCGCTGGCTCGGATGCTGCCCCACTTGCCTGCAAAGACAGCTGGCAGTCAGGCTGGGGGTCCCCGG